CTGTAGTTCTACAATGACCTCACAGAGATCCTGCTGAAGTTCCAGAACAAGTGCAGTGACATCGTCTTCGCCCGCAAGACAGAACGGGACGAACTGCTCAAGTGTGTGGTGGTGATTTAGTCTCTGTGATGATGATGATGATGCATCAATTGTTATATTTGTAATAATCACAGTATTGTCTTATTAGTGAAATATCATTGATTACATCATGGCTTTCTGTGATTGGTGATTGGTAATAAACAGAGTAGCAGCAGCGTATGTGGTGTGTGCGCGTGTTGGGAGTGTCAGTGTAGTGTGTGGGTAGAGTAGTGAGTGTGTGGGTAGAGTCCAGTTAGTGTGTGGGTAGAGTCTAGTGAGTGTGTGGGTAGAGTCTAGTGAGTGTGTGGGTAGAGTAGTGTGGGTAGAGGCTAGTGAGTGTGTGGGTAGAGGCTAGTGAGTGTGTGGGTAGAGGCTAGTGAGTGTGTGGGTAGAGGCTAGTGAGTGTGTGGGTAGAGGCTAGTGAGTGTGTGGGTAGAGGCTAGTGAGTGTGTGGGTAGAGGCTAGTGAGTGTGCATAGCGCCAGTGCAAGTCGGAGCACAACAAGGGGGGTAAATTGTCAGGGTAGCCATTTGATTAACTTGGCTTGGGGGTGATTCATGTGAACAAGAAGTGACCATGACTATCAATTGATGTTGTGGTTGCCGTGGGACCGCTGACTGACATTGCTGTTGTTGTGGTTACCCACCCAGGGACTTACAGCAGAGCATCGCCAGGGAGCCCAGCGCCCCGTCCTTCTCTGTCCCCGCCTACCAGACCAACCCTGCTCCCACTGCCACCGAACCAAGCCCTGCTCCCAGGACTGTCTTTGTAAGTAGCCAATCATTGATGGGCAGGTGGGAGGATCGAATCAGAGGGAAGCTCTGTACCAAAGAGGGGATTTGATTTAAGGAACAGATAGAAATGTACTGGGGGAGGGGTGGCCCAAAATAGGGGAGGGTTGTAAAATGACTGTCTTTTTTTGCTTTGGGGGGTAGTGTCCCCCCCCTCCCGTTTACATTTGCTCTTCATTTTTTATTTATTTTTTTACCCCATTTTTATCCAATTACGATCTTGTCTCATCACTTTTGATTTCACAATACATTGCGTGCCCTCCATCCACTACTCTACTACAACACACAATCCAGGTGTACGTGTGTATGTTATGTGCGTTTGCATGTGTGTGTTTGTACCTGTGTGTGTGTGTGACTCTTCACAGTCCTTGCTGTTCCATAAGTTGTATTTGTATCTGTTTTTTAAATATTATTTTACTGCTTGCGTGAGTTACCTGATGTGGAATAGAGTTCCATGTAGTCATGGCTCTATGTAGTTCTGTGCGCCTCCCATAGTCTGTTCTGGACTGTGAAGAGACCTCTGGTGGCATGTCTTGTGGGGTATGCATGGGTGTCTGAGCTGTGTGCTTAGTAGTTTAAACAGACAGCTCTGTTTAAGAATGTTTGCACTTTATCTACCTTCCCAAGGAAAACGCGTTGTAAAATTCCAACCTATATTTTGTTGGAGAAGACATGTTGGATGTTTTTGAACGATGTGCCATGCTGCCTTGTGGACGATATGACCGGGCAGCGCAGATTACTGTTGGATTTGATCTCCTCCTCAACGGTTCATACCGGTTCAGCCTAATCGAACTCCCTCAATCACGACAGAGATAAACATGACTGTAATGTTGTCTCTTATTGTGATATTGTCCAAATATAATTTTTTAAGCGATCAATAAATTAAATGTGTTTATATCAAAGTCATTACTATTTATCTATTTCTTTTTTTATTAGTATTTTTATTGACCTCTGATCTTCCCCTCTCTCCCGTTCCCAGCAGCCCCAGCGGCCCCCTCCCCCTGCCTTCACCCCCCAGGCCACCTCCGCACCCGACAACCAGCCTCAACCAGGAAACCCCTCACCCATGGCCCCTCCCCCACAGGCCCAGGGACCGCCTTACCCCACCTACCAGGGATACCCAGGGTGAGTCAATCAATCAATCAATCAGTATCTTTATTGTCCCAGTTGGCAGGCTGTGTGAGTTGCACAACTGTTATCCGTCCGTTGTTCTAGTCTCACTTCCATTGCTGTCTCTCTCGCTCTCACTCTCTCTTCTAACTCTTCCTCTCTCTCTCCCCCTCTAACTCGCCCTCTCTCTCTCTTCCTCTTCTAACTCTCTCTGTCTCTCTCTGTCTCCAGGTATGCCTACCAGATGCCTGTGGGTTATAATCCGTATGCAGCGTACGGCCAGTACAACATGCCCCCCACTATGCAGCCCAACATGCAGCCCTACGTCCCCTATCAGCAGGCCCCAGCACCCGGACAGGGGGGCTACACCGGGCCCCCCCCCACACAGCAGCACCCCTACACCTACCAACAACAGCCCCAGCAACCGCCACATCAACCACATTACCCACAACAATAACTGTCAATTCTATCAGTCCCTTATATATCTTCCCCCTTTCCATCCCTTCATCCCTCTCCTTTGACTGACAGCAGAAATCATGCTACTACCCTCTGCAATAAATTATCGCTCTCTCCCTCCTTCCTTCCTTCCTTCCTTCCTTCCTCTACCCTTACTCTCTCCCATCACCCTTGTTTAATTCGTTTTTCATATCATTTTTCTAATTATTGTGTTGATTCTTTATTTAATTCCTAACTTCTCGTCCTGGTCTAACTGGCTTCCTGGTATGGCTTCCTGGTATGGCTTCCTGGTATGGCTTCCTGGTATGGCTTCCTGGTATGGCTTCCTGGTATGGCTTCCTGGTATGGCTTCCTGGTATGGGCGGGGCCGCTGTAGAACACTAAAAAAACTAAACAAAAACACTATGTTTTATTGTCACATACACCGGACATGTGCAGGGAATGTGCTGTTTTACAGGGTCAGCCATACTAGTATGGTGCCCCTGGAGCAAATTAAAGGTTAAGTGCCTTGCTCAAAGACACATCGACAGATTTTTTCACCTTGACGGCTCGGCTATTCGAACCAGTGACCTTTCGGTTACTGGCCCAATGCTCTGAGGAGCCGCACTGCATTCTGGGATGAGGGGCTGTGGTCTATATAGGTATGATTCCTTATTTGGGAGCAGGTGGAAGGTCCCATGCAATGTCACTGATTTGAAGGACCCGAGGACCCAGGGTTGTGTTCAGGAGTGCTACTTGAACTTGTCCATCTAACTGTTTTGCTACTGAATACGACACAGCTCTGATCACCCAGCTAATTGTCTATATCCTATTTTTGTAATGAATAATACTGATGGAATAATCCAATAAAAACGGCCTGTAGGTTTTCTAATTTAGATGAGGACCGTTGGAGATGGACTCTCTCCCAGCTCACTCTGTCGGTCGTGTGGGGATCTGTCTTACTGTTTTACAATCAGAGTATGGCTGTAGATGTTTTCCTGGGATAAAGATGAGTATATACAGTGCCTTCAGAAAGTATTCACACCCCTTGACTTTTTCCTGATTTTGTTGTGTTACAGCCTGAATTTAAAATGTATTACATTTAGATTGTTTTGTCACTGGCCCCCTCGAAGTGGAATCATGTCTTTTTAAAATGTTTTACAAATAAATTAAAAATGAAAAGCTGAAATGTCTTGAGCCAATAAGTATTCAACCCCTTTGTTATGGCAAGCCTAAATAAGTTCAGGAGTAGAAAGGTGCTTAACAAGTCACATAGTAAGTTGCATGGAATCACTCTGTGTGCAATAATAGTGTTTAACATGATTTTTGAATGTCTACCTCACCTCTGTACCCCAAACAGGTAAGCTCCCTCAGTCGAGCAGTGAATTTCAAACACTGATTCAACCACAAAGACCAGGGAAGTTTTCCAATGCCTCGCAAAGAAGGGCACCTATTGGTAGATGGGTTAAAAAAAAAAGCTGGGGGAAAAAATTGGTGTATCAATCAATACACCCAGTCACTACAAAGATACAGGTGTCCTTCCTAACTCAGTTGCCAGAGAGGAAGGAAACTGCTCAGGGATTTCACCATGAGGCCAATTGTCACTTTAAAACAGTTACAGTTTTGCCTTAAATCTACTTGAAATCTATGGCAAGACTTGAAAATGGTTGTCTAGCAATGATCAACAACCAATTTGGCAGAGCTTGAAGAATTGTAAAAAGAATAATGGGCACATGTTGCACAATCCAGGTGTGGAAAGCTCTTAAGAGACTTACCCAGAAAGACTCAACGCTGTAATCGCTGCTGAAGGTGCTTCTACAAAGTATTGACTCGGGTGTGAATACTTACGTAAATGAGATATTTATGTATTTCATTTTCAACCAAATTAGCAAAAATGTCTCAAAAACATGTTTTCACTTTGTCATTATGAGGTATTGTGTGTAGATGAGTGAGATAAAATCAATGTAATCCATTTTGAATTCAGGCTGTAACACAACAACATGTGGAATAAGTCAAGGGGTATGAATACTTTCTAAAGGCACTGTATATTCTATATATATGACAGTATGTGGTTAACCAAACAACACTGTATATATATATATATATATGACTGTATGTGGTTAACCAAACAACACTGTATATTCTATATATATATATATGACTGTGTTTAACCAAACAACACACTGCTTCTCTTTTTCTCTGGTTCTAATGGGATTAAACACCTCTGGATACCATACCAGTCTGTCTGTCTGTGTGCGCGTGCGCGGTTTGCTGAGTCTACTTTTTTCGGAACATTGTCTTTGATTTTCAGAACCATAGACATTATACATTTATATACAATTTATACTTCCTTGTCCAGTCTGCTAAAAGCTACTAATGTAGTGTTCCTGTAGTTAAAGGAAGTACAGTGGCTTGCGAAAGTATTCACCCCCCCCTTGGCATTTTTCCTATTTTGTTGCCTTACAACCTGGAATTAAAATGGATTTTTGGGGGGTTTGTATCATTTGATTTACACAACATGCCTACCACTTTGAAGATGCAAAATACTTTTTGTTGTGAAACAAATATGAAATAAGACAAAAAAAATACTTTGTAGAGCCACCTTTTGCAGTAATTACAGCTGCAAGTCTCTTGGGGTATGTCTCTATAAGCTTGGCACATCTAGCCACTGGGATTTTTGCCCATTCTTCAAGGCAAAACTGCTCCAGCTCCTTCAAGTTGGATGGGTTCCGCTGGTCATACCACAGATTCTCAATTGGATTGAGGTCTGGCCTTTGACGAGGCCATTCCAAGACATTTAAATGTTTCCCCTTAAACCACTCGAGAGCAACAAAATAGGAAAAACGCCAAGGGGGGTGAATACTTTTGCAAGGCACTGTACTCTAGTGCCCAAAAGCCCGTTTTAGCAAGGGCAGCGAGATTGAGGACTTCCACCATTTTTAAGTAGTCAACTGGGTGGGACTTGCTGTGGGTTAACCTTTACGGGATCGGTGTCCCTTGTACGGGACGGTTGCTGCTCAATATGCAATATGTGACTAGAATGGCGTTGTAAACAACAGCCAACTTTCCGGGACATAAACATGCCTTATATGGGCAGAAAGCTTAAATTCTTGTTAATCTAACTGCAGTATCCAATTTACAGTAGCTATTACAGCTAAAAGATACCGTGCTATTGTTTAAGGAGAGTGCACAACAACAAAAAACGTATCACGGCAACTGGTTTGATACATTCACCTCTGAAGGTAAATAATGTACTTACATTCAGTAATCTTGCTCTGTTTTGTCATCCTGAGGGTCCCAGAGATAAAAATGTAATGTAGTTTTGTTTGAAAAATCAATTTTTATATTCAAATGTAGGAACTGGGTTCTACAGTTTGACCTCTGGCTCCACACCCACCCCGCCCAGCCATCTAGATGTGACTGTTAGTGTCTTTTCTGTAGGGAAGCTAATGATCCTTCATGTATGACGTTCCTAGGAGTGTGCAAACTTACATTTTGTATTACCATAGCATTTTTGTATGTTCTCTATAGTTATGTACTTGAAAACCAATTTGGCACATTTGGGAAAACTCCTGGCAGACTTGATACAAAATATTGTGTAGTGATGTAATTCTTCACTGGATCGGTATGAAACGTTGCACACACACACACTGCTTCCATCTAGTGGACAACATCTAAATTACATAAAGAATCCTACATCACTGTCTGGCCTTTCTCTTGCATTTCAAAGATGAAAACATGTGTTTTTTTGTTTGTATTATCTTTTACCAGATCTAATGTGTTATATTCTCCTACAATAATTTCACATTTCCACAAACTTCAAAGTGTTTCCTTTCAAATGATATCAAGAATAGGCATATCCTTGCTTCAGGTCCTGAGCTACAGGCAGTTAGATTTGGGTATATCATTTTAGGCGAAAATTGAAAAAAAGGGTCCGATCCTTAAGAGGTTAATGAAGGATCACATTATTCCATCCAGGTCAGAAGGAGGGATCAGCCAATGAAATATACTTGTGAACAAACATTCCATAACTGCAGGTGGCAGTAAATTACCAACTCAGAAGTAGTATAAGTAGAAAATTGACTACCTGAAAATGGAGATGGCTTCAATGGTGCTACCTTTGTTCACACAGACGCCATAATGGGACAGATAGACAATGATGCCATGTCTATGAGGTTATTCCACCTGTCTCACTTATTTCTTCTACACACACACGTACACACACACACACACACACACACACACACACACACACACACACACACACACACACACACACACAGACAGACACACACGTACAGACAGACAGACAGACACGTACAGACAGACAGACAGACACGTACAGACAGACAGACACAGACAGACACGTACAGACAGACAGACACACGTACACACAGACAGACAGACAGAAAGACAGACAGACACACACACACGTACACACAGACAGACATTTATTTTATTTAAATTACAGTTAATTCTATACCACCAATCACACACCTCCTAACCTCCTGACATCTGGGCATCTCCAGGTAAGTTATTATGCAAATGTATTCCTCTGAGGTCATGATCTCATCCAATCACAATTTCCCGCTGGTGATTTCGACAGACCGCATCTCCAGATATATTAACTCGGTGTGTGTGTGTGGCGAGTGTGTCTGACAGATGGGCGCCCAGTGTGAGTTATGGGAGGAATGATGGAGAGGTCAGCTCAGAATGACTGCTTCCCTCTCTCCAGCTCTCTCTCTCTCTCTCTCTCTCTCTCTCTCTCTTCTCTCTCTCTCTCTCTCTCCATCTCTTCTTCTCTCCCATCTCTCTCTTCTCTCTCTCTATCTCTCTTCTCTCCATTCTCTCTTTCTCCATCTCTCTCTACCTCCATCTCTCTCTCTCTCTCCATTCTCTCTCTCTCTCTCAGACAGGATGGGTGTAGTGAAGAACAGTTTCAGTGTGTTGCTCTAGGTGTCTACACATCGGCAGTCTTTTATTCCAACACAATGTGTCGCTACATGAGTGTCACTTTTAAAAGAAGGGGAGAGAGAGCGATGGAGAGAGGACATAACGGTGACGGATTGTTAATTACCCAGCATTC